GTTTTTTTTTTTTTTTTTTTTTTTGCTTTGTTTTTATTGAACCGAATTATTGCCTTTAACTTGATCCTCTTTTTTAAGACACCCGGTACCATACAGAAGCAAAGCACACCTTGATAACTAAAAAATACTTTATCACATTTTTTCAACAGCATGTTACAGCACAACATGTATCAAGACGAGATGGAATCAGGAGCTTGACAATTGTCGGGCATACGAAGTTATTGGTACATGTATACATCTTAAAATTAAAGCCTGTTTATTTGCCTTGATTTTGATGAAACAATATCCGTACATGTATCTTGAACAGAAGTCGAGATGTATGTTGAAGCTGGAAGGGTTGCTTAATTCAGAAGTAAAATTAGAGAGTACGTGGCAATCAAAGTTTGGTGAATTCCAAATCTTGAGTTTTCCTTGGAAATCACAAATTTACATCTGTGTGTGTTTGTGTTTGTTTTTGTTTTTTGCTTTTGTGTAATTGACTTTTGATCAACAATTTTCAGTAAAATCCATACAGTATAGGTAAACGTAGAGCTCTGTATTTTTAAGTAGACATAACGTTGTTATTATAATAATAATAAGGTGTTGAGTCTTTAAAAAATATCCACTCTCGGTTAAAATTGTTGAACGAGCGGTAAATTACTGGTTTCTTGCGATTTCATTATACATACACGTAATAATATAATTTACGTGCGCCAAGTTTCACGATGATGCCTCGCCATCCTACGCTACTTTTGCCGCATGCAACACCTTCTGACACCTTTCCCACTTATGTGGATCAATCAATCCGAGGCGTCCACGGGCACCACGGGTCAATGAAGTCAAGCCGGTGTGAAGGAATGTTAGTCTATATTATATCATTCTAATATCGTGGGTCTGCAACAACCGTCATCACGCTCTTCTTTTTATTGAGGCTGAAGTTGCAACAAACCCCCCACCCCTCACTCCCACCCACTCTCTTCTTCTTCTTCTTCTTCTTCTTCTTCTTCTTCTTCTTCTTCTTCTTCTTCTTCTTCTTCTTCTTCTTCTTCTTCTTCTTCT